GAGTCATGCTACCATACAGAGCTCAACCAAGCTATCAGCTTGGTTGGAAATACGCAAGCGCTGTCCTTGCCCTCTATCATGGCCTAACTTTACTTGCCCCACCATAACTAGGTGAGCTTAGCTCGATCAACTAGAAGACTACCTCAGCTGAGATGGAGGAGCTCGATCAGCTCGAGTTGGCGGATTCAGTCCTTTAGTTTGGCCCAGCTAACTGCAAAGCAATGGGCCGAGCTTATCCCATCATATCGATAGCTCGACCCATTTTGCATGGTCAAAACTCCCCTCTCAATTGTCCCTTAATCCGATCTGCTCCAACATGATCTAGATTACTACAACTAGCCAAGCTAGATATCCTGCCCAACTAGAAGAACTGGACGATGCGATTATCACACTTCAAGGAGCACAGTCCCCCCTACTTTACTGACAAAACATCTTCTTAGGGACACACGTCATCTTGTTGTGATGAGAGGTGTGATTTCCTAAAAGTTTTTCAATTCTTGGTGCCCTTCGAGTGTTATATATATATATATACATAACGCCACATCCTTCACTTTCCACTGTTCATTTTTACCAACGGCTTACCCTGTGAGCCAAAACTCCCAACCTTGATTTTTTGCATTTTGTGCCCTAATCAGAGCATTTTTGTGCCCTATTTCATCTCCATCTTATGCCCTATTTCATCTCCATCGTCAGAGCATTTTCCACCAATTGAAGTGCCGATTGGAGTTTTAGCCACATAAGCTCTTCATTTCCACAAGTGTCCTTCATCGCCCTGCATGAAACTCTTTCTGTTCTTTAGATTTTACTGTATTATTCTCATGTAAAAGATAATAATAGAACCCAAAACCACTAATAATTGGAATAAACAAGTTCTTTGCGTCATCCCTAGCGTTGAATTGCCCCTACCACGATTTTCCATCGCACAGTTCATCCTCTGGAATGAAGACAGAAAAAACTAGGCCAAACTAGGCAAAAAACCATCTTTTGATCCAAAATCGTAACCCAACCAGGCAAACTTCATGTTTGCAAAGTTTGAAGAAACTGAGTTATGAAATCAAATATTGCCAAATTGATCAACATTTGGATGCAAGCACTTTTTTGTAGAGATAAGAAGTATAGGTGTTGAACAAGCAAAGAAAAGAATGAAACATAAAATTAAAAAAAAAAAATTGGTATATATAAGAAGTAAAGCAATTATTTTAAAAAAGAACAATTTCTGCAATCAATGTTTTAAAATAAAAAAATTAAAAAACTGAAATTTATAGCAAATGAAAATCAAATTTAAGAAAAATTTGCTTTCATGCAATGCAAAGTTGAAATTTGTCTCACTCATAGGAATTCCTTTCAAGTTGAACAACTTGTCCTTCTTGTTGAATTACAACATAAGCTCTGCTAGTTGAGGAACATAGTGGCCTGTTTGGAAGCAAAGAAAAAGTAAGTATTAGTCCTCAACTCTTAATCTTAATTGTTTTCCACTTGTTACAGACTGGAATGCTTCTTGGACATTTGTTCATGAATATATAGCTTTGGCGGCACTTAACATTTTCATTTTATTTATAACTTTCATGTAACATTTTGTAATTGTATCTCTATAGTCCTCCGTAGATAGATGTGCAACTAAGTAAATATTCATTGATTGCATACTAGTGACAGAAATACATAAGATGCATAGTGATAACCACCAAATGTTATATATTGCAAAAAAATGTTGACGAGCATCACAAGCCTTCTACAGAGGAAGGTCCAATGTCTATCAAAGATGATGTAATTGTTCATGCGTTTGGTCCAGAATGCCATGGTAGTGTACGAGGGCTTGGATTTGGAGCATTGCCATCGAAAGTTGATGCACAAGTATACCAAAATCAAAATGTGAAAAAACTAAATCAACAAATACTGCTCTTATAACAAGAACTCCAGGAGATGAGAGCTGAAATGTTAAAAGGGAAGATGCAAAATGAGGTAAAAAGATTACAAATGTGACAATATATGTTATATGTATATATTGATGTTTCATAAAAGTTTTCAAAAAATTTCAATTAAAATATTTAGGAACCAAGCGAAGATGTAACAAGTAGGAAACATTCTCGTAGAGAAACCTAGATAAACTTGCCTTAAAAATAAGAAAATTGTGTTGATATGTGTTGAGTGCATAGGAATTTAACAAGATTTCAAGAAATCAATCTCTTTTGCAATGAATCAAAATAAAGTTAGTTACAAATATTTATATCCTCTAATGTAACTGATTAGTCACTAATTCTAACTAACTAAAATAGAATAAGTTGTATCTCATTAGACACTAATTCTTAGTAAATAAAATAAATCATATACATATATTATAATATAGAATAGTGTCTTAAGGTTTTGTAATATGTTGCTTTGTCTTGATATATAGCTAGCTTTTAGATAGAAGGATATTTCACAAAAGTTTTAAAACAAATTAATTAAAACTTGTAGGAGCTAAGAAAAGGGACAAATGGAAAGAAACATTCTCATAGGAAAATGTAGGTAAACTTGCACATTTTGCAAGCTTATGCTTGTGCTTGTGCTTTTGCTTGCTTGCTTTTCTATTCAAGCTTTTGTCATTTTTGCATATGGATCCTGTCATATACTAAATTTGAGTAAACAGATACCTCTTGCCATTGTATTACAATTTTTTTAGGGTGATGAAAACAGTGGAGGTAGTGAACATAGGGTGCACGAAGGTGGTGAACAGAGGATGCACTCAAAAGAAAATATTCGGGTAAATTTTGTATGGCATTATTACTTACCTCAATTTTTCTTGTGTTTGTGCTTTTGTTTGCTTGCTTTTACTCCAGAGCTTTTGTGAATTTTGCATATGAATGCCACATCATCTACTATTTTTTTGAGTAAACAAATATGACTAAACAAATATAACTCGATATTGTATTATAATTTTTCTAGGGTGACGAAAACAGCGAAGGCGGCGAAAATGAAGACATTTGGGTAAATTTTCTATGGCATTATTAATTACCTTAATTTTGTCTTCAATTCATTAGCTTATTTTATGTATTGCTTTCTTGATAGTTGAATGATGAGAATGAAACTTGGAATGGTGGATCTAACTTGGACAATGTCAACTGCAAATTGTTGAATTGGGATGGGACAAAGGTGGTGGTTACGGAAGGCACAATTGCATCAACTGATTCTAAACATTGGTACATCACATGCCTCTTGGCCCTGTGTGTTGGAAAGTATGGGTTAACCATGACAAAGCCAATGCACCATTGTTTCGCCCGAATCGTAAGATGTCTGTGCTTGAGGATGTTGTTGGAAGCATTATTGCTTGGCCAAACCATTTCATCAGCTTTGACTTTAAGTAAAAATCTAACATCTATGGATAGTTTTTTATATGACTTGATGAATGGATTTTTATAATCTTTGGATAGTTTTTGATTTTGTTTAGAAACTATGGTATAGCTTTTTGGATAGTTTAAAAATATTTGGACAATTAGAACTTAATGATAGTTCTTTTTGGAAGGTTTTGATTTAAGATTAGCTATTGGATGTTTGGAATGTATAGACAATTGTTGAATGTTCATAACTTATGAATATAGGTTTTTTTTTTTAATTTTTATACTTGAAACAATATTTTGGTGGTTGATTGATGTTTTGTGAAGTTTGTTTGTAATAGAACCTGCTAAATTAAAAAAAAAAATACTGCATATTCTACGACAGGCATAATAGGTCATTGTATTACATATTTGATGACAAGCAATAAAAGTTGTGATTTTTCCTAGGAAGTAACGGTGAGCAAAAGTAGTTGTAGAAAAATTAAACATGACGCACCAGATCCGTTGTTAAAAGGTTTTTAACGGCATGCAAAAGTAGTTGTAGAAAAATCAATACGACTTACAAGATCCACTATTAAAGGGTTTTTAACGGCGTACTATGACATGCCGTTGAAGTGAATGACTTTCTGTGATTGGTCATAACACGGTTTTACCTTGCACGTCATAGAATCGTACCCGCGATGTATATTTGGTGCCATAAAAACCTAGATTTGCTGTAGTGTGTTGTACAATACAATTCAACAACAAAGTACAAAATGCCTAATTCCATTTACCTATCCAGTATACAACAAAGGCCTTTCATCATGGTAGCAAAACATTGGGTCAAAATCCGTTTGATCACTAATAAAGCTGGATCCAGTAGTAATATCTGATGTTGTAACTCCATCAACAACAAGCCCAAGATTTTTATTTGAATTGCCCATTTCAAGAACAATCCTGCAACAAAATTGTCACAAAACAGTAAAATGTTACTACTAAAAAAAGTAAAATATTACTTACTACCAAAGTAACACTTTATTATTTTCTTGAACAGGTCATCAAAAAAAAAAAAAAAAAAAAAAAAAAAAAAAAAAGAAAGGGAAAGAAAAATGACATGTTTTTTTAAATTTAAAGATGTGCCAAAGGTATTTTAGTCTTAAAGTATAACTTACTCTCTTCATGGGTATATAAGCCTCACAACTGGTTAACTTGGATGGAAAAGTGAATGATGTACTTTGGCTCACAAATTATGTGAGTATTATATGGTCATTTTTAAACATTAAGGAGGTAAACTGCGCATGACCCAAATTATAGAGGGTAAGGTGAAGTTTGCCCATTATTTTATGATAAGGACAAATTATTGTTTTGAAAGATAATTTTTTTCACTTTTTAGCTACTGTTGCTAGACCACTAGAAAAGTCACCACAACTGGCTACTGTCCATGATTTGACCAAGTTGAATAACAATGATCTTCAGCCTCTGCCCTATAGAACATGTTAAACCTCTACCACTGTACTAGTATCAAGATTCTAAACAAACACTACATCACAAGCATACTCAAACATGTATAGATAGATGATATCAACTTGATTTATAAAAACAATGTCTCTTGTGGTCACAGTTCCACAAGTCAACACACTGAACATCAACGATATGAACTCCTATATAGGACTACAAATCTAACTCAAAAACACCATAAGAAAATATCAAGCAAAGTTGATACATACCAGCTGAAACAGAGCCATGTGATGTACTACCGCTACGTGATGTGGTAGGAAGACTGCCTGGTGGATGCCATGATGCCGGTGGATCGGGTATGACTTTCATCTTGAGTGTGTTCTGAGTCTCATCTGAACTAGAACTACTAGAGCTTGATTGCTCACTTTCACTAGAAGAATGGTCGAAGCTAGAACTCATAGATAATATCTATAAAAAAACTACAAACATAAGAGTAAGGACATGATAATCTATAAATATCTACTGCATTCAAAACAAAATAAGAGTACATGAAAGGTAAAAATGGCCATTTAAAGAAAGGTACAAAGGTACAAAAGCAAAGATTTTATTAATATGAATATCCATACAGAAAACACAAATGTAAAAGTGAATATGCTGCCAATTACAATATCATATCAGTTCTTTGTTATCTTCAAATTGTGCCTCTGTCGATGCTTCAAGAGGTCCAATAGTTGACAAAAAAATTAGAATGAGGTCTGAATGGGTTTCCAAAAGGGAGACAAAAAATGAAAAAGAAAAAGAAAAAGAAAAAAAGAAATACTATTGATGAAATTAAACCAAGAACATATAGAGGGAGATTTATGGTTGCGTAAATGTTTCCTTAAGTAGAGAGTATTTACAAATAATAAAAATGCCTTTCTAATCATATCAATGTGCAGGGCTGTATAGAACAAGAAAATCTATTACATCACAGTGGCATAGAGCACCCTCTTTTAAGGTTTTCTAAGCTTCCCTCAAGATGAACTGTAGAATATAAATGAACTGGAGAGGGTGAGGGTGAGGGTGGGTGGTGAAAGCCACATAAAGTGTAGCATTTGCAGATGTGTTGATTTGGAGGATGAGGATGGCATTTGCATTCCTATGGCATTGCCTGTGCTCCCATGTCCAGACCGCACCAGTAACTATGGGGCACCAGTAACTATGGGGTAAAGGAGATTCGAAAATAATTAACAAAAGTGTTCATTTATTAACTTTATTAAAAATGAATAGTAATGAAAGCACTTTTTCTTTTTTCTTTTTTTTTCAAAGAAGACATTGAATTTATGAGAATTTTGAGGAAGATAACACAACTCTTATTACTATTAATCATTTTTGGCACCAACACTTATTTGTATCCTTATGAATAATGGCGGCTATGGTAATCTCTTCACAAAGAGACTACAATTTACATTCTTCTATCAGACACGTAAAGAAGCAAAGCAGAGGATACACAAATTGTTCAAATATCAATATCTATTACAGTCTGTAAAAAAAATTATGCAAGAAATTGAATTAAGCTAGATTTTTTCTCAATATGATGAATACAAAATCACAATCCATTCCAAGATATAATGAACTGTTCTATATTTTAGAATTCAAAATAATAATAATAATAATGTAACCAGATATTCTACCTAAATATCTAAGCTACACTGATTGATCAATCCAAACTGATGCTAATTTAGGGTAATAAAAAAACAGAGATTAAAATTCAACATGCTAATTTAGGAAAAAAAAACAAGCGAATCTGAAGCGATGGTGCTCACCTTGGTAGATGATGGTGCTCACTTTCCTCACTGAACGAATCTGAGATTGAATCACCGAGCTTTGAAATCGAGAGAGAACTTCGAAATCGCCGAACGAATCTGAGATTGAATCGCCGAGCTGAAGAAGGTTGAACTTCGAAATCACGTTCAATCGATTAATAGATCTTCAATCGATCGATCTGATCTAGATAAAACCTAGCAAACCTAAATCGAATGATTCCATCAGTAAGTATCATCTTCAATCGAGCTTGACTGTGAGAAGATAGAGATAAGACTGATCAACAGTTACCATGAAGAAAGACCTGCGAACTCGAACATGAACTAGAGATAGAGATAAGACTGATCTGCGAATCGAGAGAAACGAAAGGGTTTGAAGCAAGAGAGAGTGAAATTACGGGTGTAGTGAATCTTCTTTGATTTAAGCTTCGATGGATCTGAATCAGGTTTTGTTCAGATCGGGGCTTCGATTTGAATCTTTTTTGATTTAAGCTTCGATGGAGCTTCGATGGAGAGGGTTGAGAGAGAGAGATCTGTGCGCATGTATTAAGGGTTGAGAGCTCTGATTCAAAATAAGGTTTTCACAGAAAGGGGCGCGTGTGGGTCACCACATTCGGAGGCGTTTTTAAACGCCTCCCATTATAAAACGGTGTCGTTTTGTTTAATAGAATATGCAGCGTTTTTAAAACGCCGTTAAATACTAATAACCGTGACGTTTACAGAAACGTCGTTAACAAAACGCCACCAAATCGCCCTTTTCCTATAGTGTCTGGTTTCACAGGTTTAACAGTTTGATTGCGATTTTAATTTTTCTGAATTCTACAAACTATTTCAATTCCTGTTTTACTCTAAAACTGGACCAATCCAATCTGGATCACTTCCTGGCAATTGGCTTTTGTGCAATAAGAATGCCTAAAGGAAAAAAAAAAAAACAAACAAAAAATCAACTTGTTTATTTTTTAAAATGAAACTTAAAAAAAAAATTATTTATATATATGTTCATTCTTATTATATTTGAATCATGAATTTAAATAGAAATTATAAAGAAAATTAAAAAATATATTTATATATCATTCACATTAATTATATATTTTTTATATTTAAATTTATACATCAAACACAATTTTAAAAAATCAACAGACTTTGTGAACGGTGGGGTGAAAGAAGCAACTACGTAGCAAACCTGCCAAGTTGCCCCTTTTGAAATTTGAATGACACTATTGATTGAATGTGAAGACCAATAAGAAATGACACAAAATAGTGTTGCTAAATTCAAACCCTAGAAGCAGACTGATGAAAAGGTGACGATGTAGGTGCATGCACATATACAGTAACTAATGGGCTGAGCTTTCATCCGGTCCAATATCTAAATCGGAGAGTGTCATTCGAGTCTGCAGGGTTTTTTTTATAAATTTCGTTTTGATAATTTAATCTATTTATTTAATAAAATTTTTTGTTTATATTCTTTAAACAAAAAATTACGTCAATTTTATAATTATAATAGAAGGTTAGTGTCTTTTTAAAAATTATATTGATTAAATTATGATTATTAGATTAATTTAAATTTTTTATTAAATTATATAATAAATCTTAAAAAATAAATAATAATCCGAACCGCTACTACGGCAATCCAAACAAAAAATAATAACAATTTAGTGTGCTTATTTGGCGTGCACTAAAAAAGTGTATCTTTTGCATATATTTATTTATTTGGGTCACATCAATTAACATCTTATTTTTGTTTTTCTATTCATTTTCTTTACTTTTTTATATTTTTTTTGTTTTTTTATTATAAAAAGTAAAAAAATATACTTATTTGGGACCCGTTTGGGAAATTGAGGTTTGAGATTTTTTTGGCTAAAATAGGTATAAAATAATAAAATAAACTTTTTTGAAGAATAAGACAAAATATCACATTCAGTACATAATCATTACATTTTTTTTTTACAAAAAGTCAAAGAATTTAAAAAAAAATTCCAAATGAGATTTTTTACTTTTAAGTTAAAACAAAACAAAAAAAAACAAAAAAAAAAAACAAAACAAAAAACAAAAAAAAAAACAAAAACAAAAAGAAAAAAAACTAAAAAATTAAAAAACTAACCCCACTTTCCAACTAATCCCTATGGCGCACAATACTAGGTGACATCATAACTGATCAACATGAAAAGGTAAACACATCATAATTGGACTTTTGGACTTATGTGAAATTATTGGTTTGGATATGTTTTTTTATTTTTTTTGAACAGTTGGTTTGGATATGTTGGGAGGAAAGTTTTTGGGCCCTGTGAAAAGTCCTAAATTGTTATGTCGGCACATTGCATCTTGCACATTAGATGCTTGTTTCAACAATTTCACACTCATCATCATATGCGGAGGGAGAGGTTTGAAAACCGATTGATGGATGGCGACCGACGTTGGAGAGTGGTGGAGTGAAGCAGCACCAGTCCAGAGTTATCAAAGATCCAAGGTAAATTTTTTAAATTAGGGTATTCATATGTCATTATTTAAAAAAATATTTGAATAAAATGAAAATGATAAAATTTTGGATCTATTGCTTTATAATTTAACAAAATTTAGATAATAGAAAACTTATATAAAATAGCCGAATTTTAATTAGTTAAATCGAATATTTATTTTTTAGCTTATCAATGGTATAAGAGTTAAAATTAATTGGGGGTATGAATGAAAATCTTCGATATAACTCAAGAAATGTCAAAAATTAACTAGTTAGGGTTGATCATTTTTCGACATGAATTTAAGTATAACACGACTTAATAATATGAATTATTAGTTACATATTTTAATGTTCACTAAGGAATGTTATGATATTTTTTTTAATTTTTTTATTAAACTCCATCTAATTGAATAAAAAAGTGTGTATAATAATAATTTAAGGCTAAGTGGTAGCAGGGTTGCTCCTGAGTTATTAGGGATCTAAGATAAATTTTTTAAATTGGGCCATTCATATGTCATTACTTAAAAAAAATGTTTGAATACAACGAAAATGATAAAATTTTAGTTCTATTGCTTTACAATTTAACAAAATTTAGATAACAGAAAACATATACAAAATTGTTGACATTCAATTAGTTGAATCGAATTTTTAATTTTTAGCTTACAAATGATATAAGAGCTAAAATTAATTGGGGGTATAGATGAAATTTTTTGATATAACTCAAGAAATGTCTAAAATTAACACGTTAGGGTTGATCATTTTCGACATGAATTCAAGTATGACACAACTCAATAATATGAATTATTAATTATATATTTTAATGTTTACTAAGGGATGTCATGATATTTTTTTAATTTTTTATTTAACTCCATCTAATTGAATAAAAAAGTATGTAAAATAATAATTTAAGGCTAATATCTTTTTCTTTCTTCTTTTTTTTTTAATTTAAGATATGTATTTTTTGTTACCTATTTTAGAGTCAATCTAGTAAAAAAATATTATGGGCACATATTTTTAGGGTCACACCACGTGGCCGAGGTGTTGGCCGATGTGTCACGTGGACAAGCTATGATACCGAGATTATTGTGATATTGCCGAGATATAGTGCAACAATATCAGAACCCGAGATATTCAGATAAAGGACAAGAGTCATAGATATGTTGAAGTAGTTAGTTTGGATAGAGATCAGGCTCTTTAATCGGATCATTCTTATCTAACTAAGAGTCTAAGATAAATGTTGTGCTTAAGTCCTATGAAGTAAGACTTCTAAGGGACGAGGGCACTGCTGACTATAAAAGTAAGGCACCATCGTGGGTCTAAGATATACTTTTACTTTTGCACTGTTAATTAAGTTAATATTTTTGAGAGATAAGTGACTGACTTGATTGTCGGAGTGCTCACAAATGGACGAGCCACTGTTCTATTTCTTGTCTTTTTGTGTGCAGATGTTTGCTTAATCTATTCTGATACGTGCTCTCCAGCTAAGTTCCTTAGATCCCTGCAGAGAGATCTATTTGGTTGTGAGGTTAGAAATCAACACCCACAATTTGACACCGTCTGTAGGAACTTAGTACGAATAGATGGCCAATGCTAGACAAGAAGTGAGAGTCAGGGACGACATATATAGTGAGGATAGGGAGTACGTCGATCTAAACGTCGAAGGAGAAAACAATGAAGATAAAGTACATGAAGTGAATCTAGAAACAAACAATGCCACTAGGGACCGTAATGGCCCAAGGAGGGGCAACCAAGAGGAATACTACAATGAGAGCGATCTGCAAGTTTGGAAAGACTGGTGCTTATGAAGAGATGATGAGGTGAAGGACCTAGCAAACAAGTTGATGGAATCGAAAACCGTGGTGAACTTCATGATACAAAACAAGGTGATACAATCGGCATTTCCATTACAAGCAACATCGACGCCAGCTGCAAATGCCGACGCCTAAAAAGGATGGCAGACAACGATGCCGACTGTTCCACAGTACGAAAATAGAAATAGGAACTCAAATCGGTGATCGCAGAACGCTAGGTGAACAGAATCACTGTGGAGAGATTAATAGAGAACCAGAGAAAAGCAAATCGGAGGATCTCGGCAGATCAACGGCCAAGGCCATTGCCTCAACAAGATAATGGACATGGAGAGGTCCAAAAGGACCCATTTCGGCATAAGAAACAGCATGCTGAAGAGGTTGATGTTGGTTGATAGTAGAGCCCTTAGAAGGACTAAAGAAGAGTTGCAGGACTACCTATAGAGAGAAAGGAATGATGCCAAGGTTGTGTTCTCTGCGCAGCCGAGGTCATCGTTCTTGGTGGAATTGGATGCCTTCGAGGCACCTAAGAGATTCACCATTCCGAGATTCTAGATCTACGATGTTAAGACTGACCCTAACTTCCATGTTGGCGTATATTTAAATGCAATGTCTTTGTGGAGTGGGAACAAACAGTTGTTGTGCAAGGTGTTCCCGATGACATTTGGGGAAATAGCATCAAATTGGTTCCTCAAATTGCCGAAGGGATCTGTCAAGAATTGGGAAGCCCTAGCCGAGATGTCTGTGGCTAGGTTTGTTATGAACAGATTGCAGCCATTGAGGGTTGATTCCCTATTGGCGTTGAAGATTGACGATAACGAAAGCCTTACGGCTTACGCCAAGAGGTATATCCAGTTGGATCCTTGAACACCCATGACTTCACGCAAGAGCTGCAGAAGATTTTAGCACCATCTAATAGATGGAAAATATTTCTTGATACGCATACACTAGACCTGCTCAAAATGTTTTGGACCTTTCTTGTCAAGGTTAGAGAGCCCTTTATATCTCATGCCTTCGATCCTACACAGTATGGAAAACCTCCTTACAGAGTCGATCCCATCTATTGCAATCAGAACGTAGGGATTAAA